ATATATAATAAACACTAAAAGAACTACAGCTGATGGAAATTTAAAATTTCTTATTTAAGGGCTGTGGAAACAAACTTATTAGTGACTCTAAAAATATAGAAATCTAGAACGGAATTTTTTTAGAGTTGCATAGCTTTTCATTTTTCTGGAATCAAAAGTTGAGATTGCAAAATTCAAGTGAAAAGGCCTGAATTTTTTTCAGGCCTTATTTTCACTACTGCCTAAGTAGTGCAAATTACTGCGAGGATCACTTTCTTTCACCTGAAAAGCAAACCGTAGATAGAAGATACTTTTTGCGTCATACAACAAGTTACATATCGTAAATATCATTCTTCTTAATGCCTTTCCCGGTGTCACCGATGCCTTTCCCGATGCCTCTGTTGGTTAATATAACAGTAAAAATATTGTTCCAGTCAAAGTGTTTGGAAAATTGCTTAACTTTTGAATTAGCGAAGTATAACCTGGTAACATTTTGGCTTTACGATACGATTGTTTTTTGCAAGTTACAAAACGTAAACAAAATTCTTCTTAGTGCATTTCTGAATGCCACCGATGCTTATCCCGATGCCTCCATTGTTTAATACAACAGTAAAAGATATACGTACCATCAACACTTTTGAAAAATTGCTTCACATTTTATTTAACGAAGTATACTGTTAACATTTCGGCTTTATAACACTATTGTTTTCTGCAACTACAACTGAGGTGTCTCTATATGAAGTGTTAAATTTGTTTCCCCGCTGACCACTCGTATTTCGGTCATTTCTTTATTCCCCGCTCGTCGCCCGTGATGTAATAACTCCCCAAAATTACTATGTCCCCAATACGGAAAGCGTACTCCGAAATCCGTCAGAAGGAGGTCATCTCGGGTAGATTTCCGATTGCGAAATCCGAGCTCGCCCAATGTTGCCTTCTTGATGAAGGCCCTATTTAGCATTTTAGACCCGCATAACAGAGTAGAAACGAACACGTACTTCGTTTTCGCTCATGACTTCGTATTAGCCGTAAGATATTTGCTTTTTTTTTCGTTTCTTTCCTATATATTACAGACTCCACAAAATTTTTGCAATGTCTCCTTTTCACGGATAGCCGATCACAACTACAACATAGTGACACCTCCACGAAATCTGTCAAAAGGAGGAAACACCGGAAATGGAGAGGAAAGATAAAGCCATCAATGGGTGTTGGTATCTACTGTAGGATGCTACACTCCTTCGGTAGTTTATCGGTACGACAGCCTGTTTTCGGGAAGAATTGCAGCCCTCGTGCAGAAACAGACTGCATCAATTATATAAGAGGAAGGAACCAGTTTTAAGGTCATTGTATGTGCAACACCAGAACAATTACGATGATCGTGGAGTTTATGCTATTGCTTTTCTGGTGTCGCTACCACATTGCCTCAATCGTTCTAATCTGACATTTGACAGGAAGCTGATAAGACAACATTCTTTAAAGAGCCTGGAGAGTGGGTCATTCGTACGCTTTCCCCTCTCTAAAGTATCCGAGTGTCGAGACGGGAGGCCGCTTTTTGTTCAAGAGGTCTCGGTAATGTGCAAGTGTAGAATGCCGAGGGAAGAGTCAGACTCGAAGTCTCCTCTTTGTGTGAAATGTTGTAGCTGCAAGGAGTTTTTTCACAGGAAACGCATTTCAACAATTATTTTGGAAGGTTCAAGTGCAAAGTGGCGTTGTCCAAACTGCGAAAGAGCGGGAAGAGGAAAATAACCATTAATTTAACATGTAGCATTAACAACTGATTCTCAGAAATTCCCATTAATTGTTTATTAAGATAATCGTCGAAGTGAAATATATCTATGTTGTAATTTTTATCCATGTACGAATCAGCTAAAATAATTTTAAAACATATTCATAAGAAACTGTTCGAAAATCGTCATCTAAATATTGTAATCACTACAATGTAGCGTAAAATATTTTCAATGACATCATGGCACAACGCAGATAGAGAACATGTAATAGGTGAGACAAGTCACGGATTATCCTTGTCGACAAAAGTAATATCGCTTGCTACATTATATTCATACTTAGTCTCCGTCCAATCGAGGTAATGTATAATTTTTTAATCAATTACCATATTAGAAATAACAATATATCGCTTAAAATTGTATCGAAGTGTTGGGACGTCAGGGGGGCAGATAGCTCGAGCAACTGAACTTGCTGAGAGAAGAGTACCAGAAGTCTTGGATCATAATAGCTTCTTGTTTAATGTACCCCTGCCTACCCAACGTCTACTAACTTCGCCAACAATTCCAACTTTCACTACTATTGCCAAAAAGCTTAGCACTGATATTATCATTTGGTTGTGTTTTCTTAACTATGCGAGATAGATGCACATATAGCCACGTATACAGCACATATAGCGCACTAACAGCTAACTTTGAGATAACCTAAAGGGCTAAGAATACACTCACAGATGTGAACCTCGCGCTAATAGAAAGTCCAAAAGTTTCATACAAATAAAGCGCTTAAAATCGCGTCTATATTTGGTAAACATTTAACTAGAGGATAGCGATTTATCCGGTAAATAGCACCACCTAACCTTTGAGCAACCGAGGCC